ATTGTACAGTATTCCTGGCCTCCGAATCAAAGATCCCAACAAGTGCAAGCACCTCGTAATTTGTACATAGCTCGAGGATTCCCCGACAGCGTATTGCCTTGATAAACAATACATTTCAATCGTGCAAGCTCAGAAGCTGAGCTCCCTCCTGCTTGGTCTTTGAATTCCGGTGCAGACAAGCAGTGGTTCCAGCACCGAAATAGCATTGTAGAAACCTCGCCGGTAGGAGCCATGGTCGATGTGTCTGATGTGTCTGTAGCCTACGACCGCATCTTCAACTTCGTTGTTTTCCGCCATCACTTGATACACTTCTATCTTCCGTGTCCCGAACACCGACATGAAGGTGATCCACAGAACCCTCCAATGCTACAACAAGCAGTAGAGGGGCAACGTCAACTTGACCGTGAAGTTGACAGGCTTGGCCACCACATTCTCAAAGAACTCCGAGTTGTCTTTCGTGAGATGTCGTCACGGGCCGGGATTTTTAAGTACTGTGTCTACACCATGTTTGTACAGCACCCCGAAATCTTTGTGCCGGTGTCCTACGTGTCACCTGCCATGCCACATCTGACAGTCTATGCCAGTGTCTGTAAAGAATGGAATCGTTCGATTTCCACAGTGGTGCAATACCACAACATGTTGGATTTTCGACACCTATGGATGTGCTCACAAACGCGCAACCTCGTCAGCTTTTGGTCCATGAACCAGTCACAGATCGGTTCAGGTTCCATGCTGACCTAATACCAGACCTTCGTCTCCTGATTATCAGGAGCCCAGTGCAGTGATGTTGATCTGTCCTTACAAAACAAGCTTGCCATTTCAACCTGTGCAGGCTCTTTACAGTAATAGTGTGCTTTTCATTGCTTGCTCTTTGATGTCATTTATTTCACACAAGCGAGAAGTTATTGCTCAACCTCGCTCCCAGCCATGGACCATTCGAAGCCTTCATCTGTGTGCTCCGAAGAAACGAGTTCATGGCATTCAGCTTCTGAGCCAACTACAGACAAGCCGAAGTCTTCGTCTACCACAGTTGGCGACTTCAAAAGCAAGTCTCGCAAACGTGCCAAGTCCAAAGATGTTGGAACATCCAGACACAAGAAGGACATCAAGAAGCACAAAAAGTCTTCCAAACGGAGGAAGAAGAAGAAGAAGAAGAAGCGATCACACTCGTCTGTCCAAGCTGATCCCAGCCCCATTTCGTCCAGTGAACTTTTAGAAGCTTCAGGTACTGTTTCACCCAACTTGGGAGATCCCATGCAATTTCATCGCCCTTTGCCTTTTGGCAAAGCATGTGCTAAGATGCTTGTAAGAGCAAGATATCGATGTGCATGTCACTTTTTCCTTTTGAGTCAATGTCCCGGTAGAAGATAAGTGCCTGTACATACATACATCGCACAAGGTCTGAAGTGCGAACAAAGGCATTTAGCAACTGTGTGTGCATGCTTTTAAAGTGCTTATACAACGGCGCGCATGTTTGGAAATGAAGCCTTTTCTGATCTGAGTGCCTCGGGCAAACGTAAGCTCCTGAGCCATGTCATCCTATGTGTTTCAGTTTTTCTGTGGAGATGGGAAAGCAGAAGCTCAGGCTCCGGCCCAGCTGGTCCCAGCACCGGTACCAGCACAGCTGGCACTACCAGCAGCTACACCTGCAGCGCCGCTCCCCAGACCCAGACCAACTGCAACTGCTGCCCCACCCAGAATTCAAGCAAGGTCCCCACCCAGCGAAGCCGTACTCCCAGCCGAAGCGCGGGAAACCGAGCCAAGCTCACAGCAATGCACCGGCACCAACATCAGGTCCCCCGGGACAATGGGGGCTCAATCCACAACCGCTCCAGGCAGCACATCATCCCCAGCATGTGCAAAGCTGGCCCTCTTGGCCAAGGCCATGCCAACAGCCACCCCCACCACCCCCTGGCTGGTTTCACCCACCTTTTCATCATGTACCTTTTTATGGACCTCCAGCGGCCCAACGGATGCAGGCTCCTTTTTCTGCTCCTTTTTCTACACCAACGAGCCGCCCTAGGCCTGCTCAACAAGGAGGTCGGCCCAAACACCACCGTAAACCTGCTCATCCGACAAAGCCCCCCGTGACAACCCGGGCTCAGACTTCAACAGGGCGACAGACGAACCCCTCTTCATTTACTTTGTCGTCTGCAGCACCGGTTCCAGCAGTTCCAAAGGTGTCTTCACCCGGTGCAGAAGCCCAGGCTGCCAGGAATGTGGACGAGCAATTTTTGAAGGACCTCATGTCTGCAGATGTTCATGATATTTCTTCTCAGTTGGAGATCCAACTTGAAGGCCTAACTGCAGTGGACCACATCCCCAAAGGATTGTCCACCCTCAGCCAGTATCTCCTTTACAGGGAACAACTTCTTGAGAACCCATACCCGGATCAATGGGTAATGGCTCCTTGGCAAGCCCTGCGTACTAACCCGGGTCGAGCGATGCTCATTCGCAAATGTCAGCGCCCCTTCGCATCCGTAAGGGACCCGGAGAGGGATCGATGTGCAAAATATTTGCTGAGCCATTTTTCAGAGCCTGTGCCTCCCAATACGATTGGTCGATCTGAGTTTTTCGGCTTTATTGATTGCATTTTGCAATCAAGACTGAATTACGAAAGGCACATCACAGAAGGAGCAACCTGGTTCCAAGAACTGGAGGAAAACGTGGTAGGCTACCGTTTTCGGTGTGAGGGTTTTCCAGGACCGCCTCTTGCTGCCCAAAACTGGCACCTGTGGGCTCATGCCACCACCTGAGAAGGAGCAACGGGCATTTTGGCCACAGGCAAGGTCCTGCCCACAGACCATGCAGCTGCAGGTCTGGATCCGGAGGAGGACACCTATTCCTTTTTCGGGAGGAGTACTCCCAATCCTGAATGGGACCAGGGAGTTATTCAGCTTGCCAGCAAATGTTTTCACTCCACCAAGAACTACTCGGGAGTGGTTTTCGCTGGCCTGTTGCCTTCGGGCCATGTTAAAGGCAAAAGTGCATCCGTCAGTTATGAAAATAACTTGGCGAAATTCCATGCACTTGTGCATAGCTGCTCTTCAGACTGCCGCTGGGCAATAAGATTTGTAGCTGCCCGGATCGATTTCATCTTCGTTCTTTCTGAAAGGGCCAAAGCAAATTTTCCTCCAGAGGCAGGCTTACCAGCCAGCAGAAGAGGGCCCAGAGCCATTCAAGGCCAGCCCACCCTTGCTATCACAGATGGATCACTAGCAGATGACTCATGGGGTCGATGGCACCGTCGACCCGAGTTCTCCGAAAGTTCCGGTGTACATAGCAAAGCCAAAGAGGAAATTCCTGCAGAAGTGCCACTACAGAGGGCACCTGAAACAGCTCAAGCTGTCATGCCTGAAGGATCTGATGTAGAAGACCTCATGGCCTCTGCCAAAGCTTTTCGTTGAGAGCGGCTGTACTCTACTTTGCGCCACACTGCATGACAAAATGTTCTGCAGTGTACGCCTTTCCAGTGCAGTAGTTGCGATCAATCTTTTGTGTGTGTTTTCATGTTTTCGCCTTGTAGCCGTACAGCTTTTTCTTTCCAAGATTTCCTGCCATGCGGCGTAAAGCAGAAGATGCCCTACTTCCTCCTGCCGGGGATCAACTATGAAGATCCGAGACCGAGCAAAGCTACTCCACAGCCATCGAAAACCAGGACAATTACTGTCCACAACCTCCCTATCCAGGGCTGTGAAGAGGGAGTCACTTCACTCCAGTTTGCAGTACCTTCCGATGGCATCATAGATGACGTCAAGAAATGCATTAGTGAGCCGCTTACCAATGAAAGATTTTATCTGCCTCGCAGATTTTTTCATCTCCAATCAGGAGGTGTGCATCAACCTTATTTCAAGCAACTTAAAGGGTTGGAGAGATTTGCTGAACTTACTTTTCAATGGTCGGACGGAGATTTGCGAAGTCATACTAAAAGCAGAAAATGCTCTTCCCTGCAAAGCAGGGTTATGTGCAAGTGGAAAATCTGTTTACATGATTTCCCGTTTTCGGCTCGTAGAGATCGCTTGTGAGTTTCTCTCTTGCGTGTGCAGCATCATGCTCGATCGCCTCACGCCAGATTCGGTGACCATCATTGCCAGTTATCTGGCAGTCATCGAGCTGCACATCGGTGTGACTCATCACACTGCCTCCATGATAAGATCAAGTTTGCCCAGATGGGATGATGACCTCTCGAGGACCCAGGCATTTCTGAGAAGATTTGGCTCGTACAGTCATCCGCTGCCGCGGTATATCAGGACAAGCCCTTTGAAGAACAGTTGGACTGTGTTCTTTTACACAAATCATTTAGATCTAGCAGCCTTCCTTCGGTTTGCTGCTATCTGCCGGTCGTGGGTTAAACCCATGGCTCAATTATCTCTTCATGTGCCTGTTGTCAATGTACGCCAGATGCAGAAGTTTAGCTACATGCTAAACACTGATTTTGAATGGCAGAAGTATACTCACAAGCAGTCTCAGTTTGGTGTAGGACTGGAAATCTGTCGGTTTGATTATCAACTGTTACCTCGTCTGCGAAGTCAGCACCTACGAGTCCCGGCAATCTTTTAGCCGTGTATAGTGCCAGAAGGCTACCCCGCACAGCGGGGTGTGTGTGTGTGTGAAACACCTGTGTACCAAGGTAATAATTTTGAGCATGCAGGGGGATGCCCCACACCTGAAGAGTGGGCATCTAACAAAGAGGCTCTTCAGAGTGTGCTGATATGGTTCTGGGACGCTGGAACCACGTACCTGCAGTTATTTCCTTTCTCCTCTTCAGATCCTGCTCCTCTGTGTTGGAAAGACTGCTATCATGTATGCTACGTCAGTCCAGAGGGAGGATTGCACGAGTGTGTGTGGAAAAACCTTTACCTAAGGAAGTGATAGTCAAGCTTTGTATTGTAGCTACAGCTAAAGAAATT